AGAGCCGGGAAACGGAGCAAGCCTCTATGTCTGGCCGTGTAGGTTGTGACATGCCCCTCCAGGGCCACTGCTCACAGGCAGCAGAGGGAAGGCGCGCTCTGGAGCAGCCCAGGGCATGCCCTCCACCTCGGCCACCCAGCCACCGTGTGCTGAGATTACTGGGAAAGCATCCGTGGGGAAAGAGAACCCTCTCAATTTGCACCAGGAATTCCCCAAAAGTCGGAGATTGAAAGCACCATTTGGCTCTGAAAACAAAGAATAAAGATGAAAGTTTTGTATTTTAAAATTTATATGGCTGGGTGTGGAGGCTCCGCTTTTAATACCAGCACCTCTGGAGGCTGAGACAGGAGGATAGAAAGTTCAAATCAGCCTCAGCAACAGCAAGGTGTGTGTGTGTGTGTGTGTGTGTGTGTGTGTGTGTGTGTGTGTGTGTGTGAGTGTGTATATACACAGAAAGATGAAGAAACAAAGATTAAACTTCCTACACAGTATAGTCCTCATTTTTATCGCTAGGAATAAGATTTTAGTTTTCTTTTGGTCAAATTATATTGTTATATAGTGTGCATGTACAGATATACAACAGATCCCATCATTATGTACAACTATAATGCACCAATAAAAAAATGTGAGAAAACAAGATTCTAGTTTTCATTATTCTGTGCTTGTGTGTGCATGTGTCCAGCCTAGAAAGTATTTCGTTGTGAATTGTGAAGCAAACAGCTTCACTTTTTTCTAAATGACTCAATGTATTTGTAGAATGCCACCATTTTCAAATACTAAATACTAAATCCTTCAGCTCTAAGAAGCTAAAGCTGCTTCCAAGGTTATATTCTAGCTGTTCATCTTATTATGTCCCTGGGAGCTTCGTGCACTTAGGGGTCTTGGAAAAATATCAGAGCTTAGTCTTTGGGTTGGTATTCCCCTGTGAAACACTCCATTTCTCTAAAACTGAGTCTTCAGGCCATAACTCTTTGTTAGGTCTCTTGATTAGTCTGCTTTTAAAGCATCTTAGGAATTCACTGCCGTTCATGAAACTCATATATTTTCCTTAACTGGGCCTCCACATGGAAAAAAATATCAGTAGTTATCAAAGCAAACATATTAAAACTACCATCATTCTTTAGCACTTAGACATTTCTGTTGGTCTTTTAATTGCATGTTTCTTCTGCAGGGCGGCAGAATGTACAAAACCTTCTGGGTTTAAAGCTGCCTCTGTGCAGCCCAGCTCGCCAGCCTCCCCCATGCACACTCCCAGCTTGACTCTGCATTCCAGTCATACATACTTAAATACCCGGGGCTCCGGGTCACCTCCAGCCATCCCTGCTTGCTACTACTATTGCTTAAAAAATTACTCCATTTTATTCATCCCACCAAAATGCAGATTATTTGGGGTGACTCAGTTTAGGCAATGTACCCTGTGGGACACCTTCTTCAACTAGACATGTGCTTATGTAGCTCTCTCACCTGCTCCTGCGGCATCTGGTACGTCTTCCATTCCAGTGCTTGACACACCATGTTGCAATTGTCCTGTTAGTGCTCTGCCTGCCAACCAGACAGTAGGTTCCTTGAAGACAGGGATCGTCTTGCTCTCACATCCCTACCATCTAGCACCTTCTTTAGCTTATCATAGGGACTCAATAAATGTCTGAGTGAATGCATGAGATATGTCCATTGCAGAATATTAGGAGGTAGGACTTCAAAATAAATTTTTAAAGAAAATGAATGTAACTACCCAAACTAGAGACAACTCACATTAGCATTTTTGGTTTCCTTGCTTCTAGTGAATGTTCTCCATCAACGCTTCTGCGTTTAGAGCTTTGAGTACTTCTGTTTTCATTTAACACTACGGTGTTGTACTGAAAATACTGTTAAGCATTTACACATGTAACTGCAAATTCTTTGGAAATTTCACTTTAATGGTTGTAAGAAGAACATTGTCCTTTAGAAGTAGCATAGATTGTTCAGATATTTTCTGTTCTTGGATTTTGAGATATCTTTTTTTGCTATTATAAAAAAATGCTTAATTGAATATTTTTTGCATCTTCATTTATTTTTTGAAATACATTCTAGAAATGAAATCTCTAGGTTAAATTTCACAATTCTAACCTGGCAGTCTGGCAGAAGGATGGAATGGAATGGTGGTCACTAGAGGCTCAGATGGTCAGGAAAGAAGGGTGATTGGGAAGAAGTTCAATAAGGGGCAGCAGAAAGCAGAATGGAGGAATTACTTCTCATTTTTCTGTACCACAGTAGGATAAGTATTAGCTAAAATGATCTATGATATGTTTCAAAGTGACTCTTCTAGTCATTTAATGATTCATATTTGAAGAGATGGAAAAGCTCATTGCCTTGATGTGATTAATATACATTGTATACACATACTCAGTTACCATAATATACCACATAAAATGTACAAATATGCCTCAAATAATAAAGAAAATTCCACAGTTCTATATCAGTGTACCAACGTACCTATGAATGTACTCATCGATGTAATACCATCTTTCTAATGAGTGAAAGTTACATGGGCAAAAAGGAGCTCATCATTTTTACCTTTGATTTATTTGTCATTTATATGACACTTTTCTGTGAATGTAACCTTTAAGTATTTTTTCTGTTGTACCCTTTTCCTAACTGGCTTAAAGCTTTGTATCTGTTAAGAATATAATCCTTTGAGAATTTTTTTGCCAACCAGTCTGACATATGCCTTTGGATTTTATTTTATATGTTCGTAACATTTTTAAAAATGTATGCACATTTGTCGATCTTTTCTTTTGCAAATTATTCAATTACTTTTCTTTCCCTGGCAGATGCAGTCGATATATATTTTCCTACTTAGAAATGTGCTCAGATGATTGGTCTCCTTCCAACCTTATTAAGTTCGGGTTGTTGTCACTGTTTACATTTTTGACCCATTTAGAATTTATTTGGGGGTGTAGTGTGAGATGCGAGTGTTTAAGGGATGATCACTATTCCCCTTGGACTCCAAAGAAATGGTTTTAGAAGCGGTTCTGTTCACAGAAGCAGCATGCGGAGGCAGAGCTCAGTGCTCACCATGGACTTTGCTTGTTCTCGTAGGTGAGCAGGAGCCGGCTGGAAGCAGCGACTCTGACATCTCCTTGATTATGGCAATGGAGGTGGGACTGTCCGATGTAGAACTTTCCACCGACCAAGACTGCGAAGAGGTGAAATCTTGAAATGGCGGACATAGAAAAGAGGAGGTAGTAGGACCTAAGGGGATGAGTGCTCCCATACGTGGACCGGGCACACACCTTCAGACACTCGGCAACCCCAGGGCGCTCTGCTCCGTCCAAGAATGATAACGAAAGCAATACCCAAAGTCTCCTTAATCAGGATGCTGTTGCATCTCCAGGACAGTCTTTGTCCTTGATTGACAGTGTGGAAGTTGAAGGCTGATTCTTCCCTCCCGTGTCCTTGTAGGCGTACACTTCAAAAGCTCCTAAAGTAGAGAACGAAAGGAAACCTTTAGGGTTTCTTAGTTTTAATTCAATTTTTCCAAGTCTTATTGTCCTTGTTTTTCAAAGATTGATTTCTTTGGTGATTTCTTTGTAAAGACTGTGTGTAGTTTACATCTACTCGGGTGTTTTGTTTTTGTTTTGTTGTTTTTTTCCCTTTGATTCACTCCAGCTCTCATGAAGAGAAGCACCAGTTTGGAAGCACCAGTTCCTGTTAGGACTGGTTGCTATTACATCCCTGAGACTTCTGGTCTCGACCTCTCAGCATGAACTGTGCATGGCTTTGAGAAGTGCCTCAGCACCCGGAAACAGCAGGAGGCCAGCTTTCTTAAGAATCTAAATTCTTTTAAGTGGGTCTTGAAAATCCCAGCTGCCAGAGACCCCCCAACACTAAGTTCTAACTCTGCTGAAGTCGCTGCTCACTATTTTAGGGAACATCACAGTGGCCCCCACTTTCTGGGTTCTGCCAAGGGCCATATGAGAAAGGGGCTCCATGGAGGTACACCCAGGGTTTAGAGTCTTTGGCTGAAATTCTGAAATCAGAAGTCCCCTCCAAGGCATGCAGCTGCTTATGAGACTGCAGACCTAAATTGAAAACCCAAGACCACGCATTCTTTCCATTGAAACCAAAATGCCCTTTGTACTGGTTTCCCCAAGGTTAGAGCAAGCAGTCAGCTCCTTAGGTGGGTTCTGCAGGGGATGGAAGCTTTAGAAAAAACTCAATCATCTTTAAGCCCAGTGGTCAATACAGTGGGGGGCTGCAGTAGCACCTGGATTGTACCTTACTGCCTATACCCTTCTGTTAACCTCACCAGACCACATGGAAGGATTGAGGAGAATCCTCAGTAGATAACCTTCCCAGGGGTCCCCTGAGAGCATGCAGATACCAAGTAAGGAATGAGGTGTCCCTTGATAAATCATTTGAACCAAAAAAGTACTGCATAGGAATTTGCTAAATCAAGCTAATCCTGATTAAGAAAGACAAATAAATGGGAGAGAAAAAAGGGGTATCCAATGAGTTCTAAAATCCACCTGTGTTTTTAAAATGTTTGCTTCTTCTTTTTTTTTTTGTAACTATGATAGAAATGTGCTATTTTTCCAGTGGGTGATTTTGTAACGTATTCAGACTATCCATAATGCAGAGATGACAGGCAGTGACCTGTGTCCCCAGACAATCAGATGGGCCACCTTATCATCTCTAAGCAACTGACAATGTCCATGCTGCTGCTTAGACTAGCTACAAAGGAGAGCTTTTTCTCACTGAGCTGTATTTTCCTATCGATGAGAGCTTTTACACCTCATTGTGCTACCACTCACTGAAACACAGAACGTGGTCCTGCTGTCCACCCTCGCTGTCGGCTTCAGTGTGGAGTGCAGGTGGAGGAATACCTGCCCTCCTTTTTCCACCACCTTTAATGATTTTCCATCTGGTGGTTTCTAAGTAGGCAGCAAGCAGGGAAAATGATGCCCACCTTCAGGCAGGCATATGTCCCTATATTTTATTTAACCCAACACTTCCTGTTGTAAAAGGCAGCCTCTAGGGGTAGGGAAAGCAGGCAGGAAGAAATGAGGAGAGCGCCAACTCAGGGGACAGGAGTCCTTGACCAGCTACCCCCTTGTGAGGCCCTGGCTACTCCACCTGTTGAGTGAAGAGTGTTGCGGGATAATTCCCAAAGCTCCTTCCAGCTTTAGGATCCCATTGAGTACTTGGCCAGTGGGATCCATTTTTAGCTATGTCTTTAAGCAACTAGGCTTTATAGCTAGGGAAGACATAGTGACTTGTCACATGTAATAACAGCCTTTGAGATTGGGTACTCCTGTGTGGTTGAGAAAAAGGTATAAATGGTATAAGTTTCAAAACCAAGAGAAGTTGGTTTGTTCTGCCTCGTTCCGGAACTATTGCTAGTCACATAGTTCTCAATCTCTGGATACCTTTGAAGCCTCATTCTCCCTGTGGAATTCCTAATCTCAGTGATGTTTATTTTTCTTTTTCGACCTGCATCACCTGTTCTTCTGTCAGTAAGCTGTGCCCGCAAAACTTTGGTATTAACTTAAATATAGAGGAATTAGGGTAGGTCAGCAACAACAGGAATATTACTGTATTCTATACCCAGAGAGAAAATGACCTTAGCCTGTATAGTCCTCTGATGAGTATTTTCTCTTCCTACCAATGATCAGGTAAATCAAAATTTGGTTGCATATGCAATTCCTGGCTACAGCCACCCCTACAGAATAGGGGTGGATGATATGGGAACCCAGAAGCCCATCCAAGGCTTGTGGGTCCAACCTCTAAGAGATTCTGCTGCAAACACCCCAAGCCTGTGAGATTTTCCAATTATCAGAAGGTTTTGAAGGGCTTTCCCTGTGGTCTTGGTAATTAAAAAAAAAAAAAAATTTAACCAGAAAATTTGTCTTTCAAAAGAAATGACAAAAGTCCTTGCTGGTAGCCTTCTTTACTGCCTCCCCCAAATAAGAGATTGACCTGGGGACCTAGTGGTCCTCACATGAGGGTCAACAGGGTACATGACCCGTGATGCAATCTATATGTGTATTTGCAGATGTGCATTTTCCTGCAGAGAAGGTGTAGACCAATATTATCCAGTAGAAATATGATGAAAGTCTATGACTTTAAATTTTCTGCAAGCCACATTTCAAGAAGTAAAACGAAACAGGTAAAGTCATTTTTGTAATATGTTTTATTTGACTCAGTATTTTTGTTTACATGTAATTGGTGTAAAAAGCATCAAGGAACTACGTCCCATTCTTTTTTTTGTACTGAGACTTCTAAATCCATTGTGTCTTTTGCCCTCACTGAACATCTCAATTTGGACTAGACAAATGTCAAGCACTAATGGCCACTTGTCTAGTGGTGACCGATTAGGCACCATAAGTCTAGAGCTCCTCCAATATTCCTCCCTTAAAGAAGACTAAAGTAAAAACCTTAATTACCTCCAGGGAGAACCACACACCACCCAAGTCGCCTAACGAGAGGCCCAGAGACCCACAGATTTTGTAATGAATAAAGATTCAGCAGCCCTTTTTGAAATTTCTACTTGAACTTCTATCAACTGATATCTGTTGTCATTGACTGTCACTTCTCTAACCAGTTTTTTTTTTTTTAAGTCACACAAACCATGTGGATTTGGTGCTGAAAGAAATTCTATCCCTCACTTCTGTGACAAACCCTTAGGCTAAAAGGTGGTACTTAGGAGCCAAAGAGAATTTCAGACTGAAATCATCCAACTGTTCCTCATCCTCTAGTTCTTCTTTGTGGTTGGCAGAAAGTCTATACCCTCACCCTAAAGCTCCAGCTAGTATTCATGTATTTGGGAGGAAAGAGAGAAAAATTACCTAGTAACTCTACATACAAGACTCTGTGTGGCCTTACTGAGAAAGAATCTTTGGGTCTTGTGACATCAGCCTCTGCTTGGTGGCTTGTGACCACCTCCGGCAGCCATTTTCCTCTCAACATCAGCATTCCCCATAACCCCAAGGCTGTGGGGAAGAAAACATTCGCATTCGCTGAGATTGATTTAGAGTCGCCTTTAGGAATTGCTGCTTCTTGTGTGGCTAGTCCTTTTGGAAGAGCTGAGCCCTGATCATAGATATGGCATTTGAGTATTGATTGTTCACTGAGGTTTGATCAGCCCTGGAAGGTCAGCTGTAGTCACCCAGCCAAGGGGACAGGTAGAAAGTCTGGAGAAGGTAGAAAGATAAAAGCAGCAAAGACTGATTTGATATCACGTGGCAGGGGAGTCCTTGTGACTGTGACTATGTTTCCTAAGAGGTTTTCATGCTGTTTTCTTTTGCTGTTAGCACTTCCTCATCCCAGTGGAACATGTGGGTGGGTGCTCATGGGTCTGGGTGTGGTCATCTCCAAAGTCACAGTGCCCAGTGGCCATCTCAATTTCTTCCCTGACATCCCTGTGGCCACCATACTTTCAGGACCAAACGTGATGACAGATACTCTAACATAGGATTCTTTCTTATTTCTGACTTTTGTTTGGGCAGAACATTCTTACAGAGCTTAGGAAGTAAATGGCACGTGGTTGTCCATTGAATGCATCACCTTGACTGAATGCAGAGAAATCTCACAGAATCAAAACTCTTCCAGAAAATCTGGGGTATGGAGTCACTCCCATGGGCAGCAAGCACCCACCCCTGTGCGGTTACTTGGACCACTAAGGCTATGCCCAGGAGCATTTTTCTATTCTCTTACTTGTACTTCTCTATCTTTCCTTCTCTGTGTGTATGTGTCTGTCTGTACAACAAAACACACACACCGGGTGTCTGTCTGTCTGTCTTTTCTCATATTCCCTTTCCTCCTCCATTCTTTTTTCTCATGTTCCATTTTTTCTTATTTACTTTTCTTGTAAGAAACTCTAACCTT